TAGTCCCAGCTACTCGGGAGACTGAGGCAGGAGAATGGCGTGAACCCGGGAGGCGGAGTTTGCAGTGAGCCGAGATTGCGCCACTGCACTCCAGTCTGGGCGACAGAGCGAGACTCTGTCTCAAAAAAAAAAAAAAAAAAAAAAAGAAAGAAAAAGAAAAAAGAAACCATTGTATTAGTCAGGGTTCTCCAGAAAGCCAGAACCAATAGGAGATAGATGATTGATTGATTGATTGATTGATTGATTGATAGACAGATAGGATAGACAAGAGGCAATTTATTAAGGAAACTGGCTACTGGAATTATTGAGGCTGAGAAGTCTTGCAACAGGGGATCTGTAAGCTGGAAACCCTGGACTGTTGGTAGTGTGGCTCAGTCTAAGTCCAAAAGCCTCAGAATCAGGGAAGCCAGCGGTGTAATTCTCAGTCTAAGGAGGAAGGTCTGAGGAGCTGAGAAACCACTGGTGTAAGTCCCAGAGTCCAAAGGCCAGAGAGCCTGGAGTTCTGATGTTCAAGGGCAGGAAAAGAGTGTCCAAGTTCCAGAAGAGTGAAAATCGCCTTTCCACTGCCTTTTTTTTTTTTTCCTATCAGGCCCCCAGCCGATTGGATGGTACCTGCTCACACTGAGGGCAGATCTTCTCCATTCAGTCCACTGATTTACACACGTGTCTCCTCTAGAAACACCCTCTTAGACATATCCAGAGTTAATGCTTTACCATTTCTTTAGACATTCCTTAATCCAGTCAAGTTGACACCTAAAATTAATCAGCATGCCCAGGATGATCAATAGTATCAAATGCTACAGAGAAAACAAGCAGGATGAGATTCAAAATATTGGAATTTATTATTGGGATGTGAATTTCATTAGAACAAATTCAGTGACCAACTGGGGACGGATGGCTAATTGTGTCTTACTCCAGAGAGAATGGGGTGCAATAATCAAATGAAAGTGTAAGCCTTGGAAAGAAGAGACCTGCATCCCTCTGACAAGAGGAAATGAAGTGAGTATGGATAGAGAGGTTTACGAGTATGAAATACAAAAATGAGAGAATTCACAGATAGCCTCAATTATTTCAGAGATAGGAGGCAATTCATTGGATGAGACTTGGAGAGTTGGGGGTACTGACGTGGGGGTTAGGTGGGGGGTTTAGGAGGAATAGTAGATATCTGGAGATAGCTGTTTTGGGAAATGGGGAGTCAATCAAGGACACTTAGGAATATAGAACAATTTAGATAAATTACAAAGCGATACATTTGTAAAGATCTGATCAATACAGAATTTTTTCAACTCTCAGTTATCTTGGTGAAGGAATGGAGAAGCCATGGCTATATTGATCCAAGATTTCTGCTTTGAAAAGCAGATAGATGGAATGACGATTAACCAATCTAGCAAACCTACTATTCTATATCTAATACATTGAAAATGAATTTATCATCTTCTGCCAGACACATTTCTTCTAGATCCTGCATTTTCTGTCTCAGTGAATGGTTCTACAGCCTTCAGAAATAGGGTCATTCTTGATCCCAATCTCTCTCTCTCATCCCTTCACATTCAGTCCTATCCATTCCATTCCCTTACTAGTACATCTACACTCTGACTCCATTGTACTTTTGCACAGGTAGCTCCTTCTACAATGTATTATCCCACCCTCTTTTTCACACAATTCTCACTCATCTTTTATAACTTAGTTCATATATCACTCCCTCCCTCCTGAAAACCTTCACTCATGATCCCTTTCCCTCTAATCTGGATTAGGGACTCTTCAAAGCAGAGCATTCTGGTCATACCTCTTTCAAAGCACTTAAAACTTTATAGTTATTAGCTATTCTCCCCACTATGCCCACAAGACTAAATTCCTTGAAGGCGAGATTATGTCTTTTATTTCAAGCAACCAGTACTTTGCACAGAATTGTTTGCTGAATTAATGAATAATCATAAAATATAACACTAGACGGCAAAATAAAAGGATAACACTTGAGAATAAGTCCACTATTGTTTAAAACGGCAGGAGGTGATTCACAAAAGAGTACATCAGTGATGTAAAAGAAATGATATTCAATGATAATTATCATTGATTAAATCAATGGCTCTACTAGTCATATGTCCATTATAACATTTACATAGAAACATAGTCCAAACTGTATTTCAGAATGCTACAAGTACACCTTCAGTCTGGCAGTGGCTACAAGCCACCTAATTAAAAGAACAACATCACCTTTAGCTACCATAGTACCAGCTACCATTCGAGTAAGAAATAGCAATATGAGAAAATGCCCCTCGCTCTTTGGAGCTCTAGGGGACGCTTTCCCCACACATTTTGTGAGATAAAAGCACATAACACACTTGCTTCATAGTAATAAATTTACCAACTTCTGTAACTTAAAACTAATTTTAGGATATTTGTGTTTAAAGAAATAAAATTCTGTCTCAGAATATTACTCCAACAGATGACCCATCATTTTGTTATGAAGGAGAACATTCAAAAAGAAAATAAATCTAGATACCAGCTAGGAGTGTTCATGTGATAACAGTATTTGAACTCAAATAAGTAATGAATGCTTCGAGTCCTCCCATGTTTAGCATGTGACTCCGATTCTACAGACCTTTCTCTTAGAATGTTTAAGCTGATTTATTCCATGTGAATTTCTATGTAAGTTGTTCCCTAAGTAGTTGATACAAATTCTTCATATTAATATACTGTCTTGTGATATTTTAATAAATCACAGAGTATTCATTCAATACTTCTTTATTAGTAAAAAATTGCCATTGTATGAAAATAATTAACCAAGAAAGTCCCTTGAGCAAAATCCTGAACCTCTCTTAAGAGTTGCTGATTTGTAAAATTACAAAAATAATCCCTGTATTACAGGATTGCTGTAAAGATTACAGCTAGTATATATGTATATATAAAGCAATATCACTCTGCTTAGCACACAGTCAGCTAACCACAGAGGTGTCTGCCAGACCAAGCGCAGTGGCTCATGTCTGTATTCTCAGCACTTTGGGAGGCCGAGACGGGTGAATCACCCGAGGTCAGGAGTTAGAGGCCAGCCTGGCCAAAATGGTGAAACCCTGCCTCTACTAATACAAAAATTAGCCAGGTGTGGTGGCAGGTGCCTGTAGTCCCAGCTACTTGGGAGGCTGAGGCAGGAGAATTGCTTGAACCTGGGAGGTGGAGGTTGCGGTGAGCTGAGATTGTGCCACTGGGCAACAGAGCTAGACTCTGTCTCAAAAAAAAAAAAAAAGTCTCTGCCTTTTCTTTTTTATAAGATCTTTATTTCCATTTTAATGTTCTTTGTGAATATATTTGCAATTTAATTTTGTACATTTTTATGAAAATACAGATAATACGCAGAAATACGTATCATCCATATGCATATAGGGGGGAGTATGGATGTGTCCCTCAAGTACATATATATTATTTTGTGCACGTATTAAGGGTTTATCCACTTTGCTTCTCCATGTACAGACTTCTATTGGATTCAGTAAGGAATTAGAATGATTAATTTCACAAATAAAAAAGAAACTTTTTTTATAAGCTAAAATATGCTGTGAAGAAGTTATTCTTATAGAGCTATATTTAGTTGAAATCAGATCTAGCAGAGATAGAGATATTTTGCTACACATATTCTACTTTTCAAATACTTTTTAATTACCTTCTCCTATAAACCATTCTTGGGATTTCTCAACTCTCAATGTAGATAAGGTATTTATATCATACTAAGGATCACACAAATTAAAAAATGAATATTATTTCAAACCTCTTATTTTCAATAATAAAAATCGAATTGTCTAAGCATTCCAGTTTAATTTACTTTGCTTAAGTTATAATTCACATATGTAAGAGGATAATAATAATTTTTAAAATTATAATATTATTATAAAAATAGATGCTGTGCAGAAAAGAGTTAACACAGCAGGCCTGAGACTGCTAACCTTAGAAAGCCTGCTTGTAAGGTTGGCCCTTAGCTGGCATCTAGAAATTTAGATTTGGGGAAAATTCCCATCATTCTGTAACTGGTAAGAGTGGCTTATTATGTATAAATTGTTTGTGTAAACAGTATGGTTTATGCTAAACATAAATTCCGTTCAAACAGGAATTTGGAATTTTGATATGTGCTAGATAGGAGGTGCCTGTGTAACCAGCGCCAGTAGAAACATTGGGTACTAAGACTCTAATGAGCCTCCTGGTAGACAACATGGTACATGCATGGTAATAATTCACTGCTGGGATACTTCATTGGGAGGGGCCTCTTGGAATCTTGTCCCTAGTTTCATCCAGACTTTGCTCCATCTGCCTTTTCCCTTTGCTGATTCTGCTTTGCATACTTTTGCTATAATAAATCATATCTGTGAGTACAACTCTATATTAATTTATATGAGTCCCTGTAGAAAACCAAGGAACCTGGGTGTAGTCTTGGGACCCCCAACACCGATGCCATAAAATGTGTTTAATCAAAATATCTTCTATTATTTTTCATTTTATATTGTCTTATATTATTTTCATCAAGTATATCATTTAGGAATAGAGAGAAATAGGCTAAATTGTTAAGATAGACAAATAATTATATAAACGTTGCCATCAGTAATAATCTTATTAGGCAGGAGATGAAAAAGGCCAACAATCACCTAATTATGAAGTCCAGAACAATTTGAGTTTTCTCCTAGATTACAGCCCATTTTATTAATGTAAATGTTGGATTATTTGTAATGGATTATAATCTCCTAACCAGGTTACTGATAATTTTAGCAATTTCACTTCTTATAATAGAAATTGATTTTCCTTTAGGGGATGATAATCAACCCTAATCATTTTAATTTCAAAATGGGATATATTCATTTTAGGATGTCTTGTTTTTAGCCTTAAAAAGCATAAATATATTGGCATGCATTCACTTCACAGCATGTCTTAAAATCAAAATCTACTTAAGTGAAAATTCTGAACTCTTCAAATTTGTCTTAAGTATTTCTCAATAGTATTTCCAATGGTAGGGAACTTACATTTTTTTGCAGTGTGGGCATTTTGCCAGAGTGTTGAACCTCAGTTCCATCCACTGTAAAATAAATAAAGAGAGGAATTGAAAAGAAAAACAACTGAAAACTATCCAATCTGATAAGACATTTCTTTTCCTTTAAATGTCATCAGGGATCACAACAGAAGCAATCACCTTCTCACGGTTACATGAGCTTTTCCCTCCAACACTTCTCTCCCTCTCTTAAAATACAGTTTGGGATCCTCCTCTGAAATAGTTCCCATGACTTTTCCAATGCTCTGACGCAATCTAGGTTTGCTTTACATGAATACTGAATGTAATATCATAATTGGGGTCATCTTGTTCAGTAAGTCTCAGTTCACTTCCAGGGAATAAAAATATATTTCATATACCATCAGTTATTTTTATTTAAGTCTTCAGGGCTGGCCTTTTAAATACTTGAATATTTAGATTCATTACTAAAATTAAACTATTCTACTTATGTGAGAAACTCACTAAGTACATAAACTAAATGAATTAGATACAGGTAGTACTGAAGTCGGGAACTGTATTCTGTTCTGTCGTTGCCTATATAATGTAACAAAAACATACTGCTTAGTACAATTTTCTTCCTGTAAATGTAAGTAATAAATGTGCTACCTTCCTCATATGAATATTATTCAGATACTTGAAATGACTTACTGGTTATAGATAGTCTTTGAAAGAATATGCAATATAAATTTAAAGTAAATCTTTATCCCATGAAATACATTTTGTTCAATGACTTTCTAACAATCTTCTTCTATCTTGTTTGCTTTTCTATATACCTCCTTATAAAGGGTGTATTTCCTTGATAGTTTTGGGAAATTTTCTTTAAGCACTTTGGCAGTTTATCATCAAAACAACTTATTTTTATTAAAATTAAGTTTCATTTGGGAATCTGGGCCATCAATTTTTCTTTTCAGAAGGCTCAAATTCTAGATACAGGGGTTTCAATAACTTGTGGATATTCAAACATTTTCCACACAATAGAAGATATCTTTTAGAAAATATCTGATGCATACCTTTTTCTTTTATGATTAAAGAAAAGAACATATAAATTTGGGTTTCCTAAACTCCTTTGTCTTCATTTTTATTTCAAATATCATGAAATTTAGTTAACCTTGTTATGATCTCTTTTAGTCACAACAGGAGCATATAGTCCCAAGATAAATTAAAGAGAAATAAAACTTTACATGAATGTTCACTCTCTTTACAAAATGATTATTTGTAAACATCTGCAAATGTCAAACCAAGGGCACTTATTTTTTAAGCAAGAGTGAGTATTTCTCTCATTACTTATAATGATAGAATTACTTATATCAATTTGTAACAAGTTGATTTAGTTTAAAACTGCACTTAAAGTAAAAATTCTTGAGTTAATGTGCTAAACAGATACTAATATAGATTTCTACAGAAATTGGTACAGAACATTAAGCAGAGGAAGAATATAGAACTATTATTAAGGGCTTTTTTATGTTTCTGTAATAGGCTTAGGATAGTTACTGAACTTGTGATGTCATTTCAAATGTTATTTATAAATAACAAATTTAAGTTTTTCATAGTTAAAAGAAGCAAACTGGTTTGAGAAGGCAATTATGAAACCTTTGAGTCAAGAGTAACTCAAAATCCAAGACTTAGCCTAACAGACTAACAGGAATTTCAGTATTTCAGATGACCCCTAAAGAGACTGTTTAGTCCACTGTTATCATTTTATAGTGTTTTTCATTTTAACACAAATTATGCATGATAAAATCAATGATAACTGACAAACAGTGGGGACTTTATTCTGTAATTAATGTATTACATTGCCAGCAACCTACCACATCTGGTTTTGCTGTTATCTGCAAGTACTCACTTAAATGGAGCAGACTAATAACAAAAAGCATCTATTATTAGAATAATTTTCTTATAATTTATCCAAATGAACACCAATTCTTATGCTTTGGAAAAGAAGTTGACTTAGTACTGTTCTCTCATCTAAAATCTGGCCTCTGGATTCTTAAAATTTTATTGCCAGACCTTAAGTCCCATTAGACTAAACAAAAAAAAAATCTTAATTGTATCAGCAAGATTAAAAGCAACTTCTCTAAAACCCAATCATTTTTAGTAGAGATCTTCTAATATTTGACTTATTTCTATTCTATAACATGTAATGGATAAATTGAGTTTCCCCAAGATATATTTTGGAACTGATCTTAGAAGTTTTGTTTAAAAAAAAAAAAAAAAGCTATATTGCTTAAAACTACTAATTTAATTTTATAGTATCTTACCGAGTTAGATAGATAGATAGATAGATAGATAGATAGATAGATAGATACATACATACATACATACATACATACACACACAGATACATAGATACAATAGGCAACTGGTAACACTTTGAAATATGTTCCAGTTAAAACTGTTATCCCCCCCTGCTATGGCACCCATTTGTCCCCAGATACAAATGAAAAAAATCTGATCCTGCCTGAAGGTACTGAATTGGCCCACTTCAGGGTAAACTTTGAACCAAGTTGTGTTCGCTTTTATTAAAGAACAACAACCCTCAGTCAATGTTGATTGACAAAGTACCTGAATATGCCTTTCATCAGCAACAGAGACCATGGGCCCTACAGAAAAGTAATAGTAAACTCTGCTGTTCAGCTGTGTTAAGAAACTTCTTTGCATTCATGGAGAACTAGCTAAAGGCTTTATAAGTCAATTCATTCTTCTGGGAAATTATTTTTCAAACAATGCCCTTCAAATCACCACTCAGGCGAGATGATCTCAAAATGGTTTGGACGGTAAAAAATGTTTGGACATACAATATAAAAACTCCCTCTTAAATATATACAATGGTATATGCTAAAACTGATAAAGAATATCCTATTTTAAATTCTGTTTAATTTTTTAATCCTAGCAATTCCCAATGAACATGGAACTCTTTACTCACAAACACCTGTTACTAACCTATAAAATGAATTTGCCATTGAATACACTTTGGAAGACACAAATCTAGCTTTTCTAAATTTATCCATGGTCCCAGACAGGCTATGATATGAATAGTGTAAATATTGTGAATTCCTAGAAAATTTAACTTCGGCATTATGACACTGGTATATTAAAACATGTTATTATAAACAGAAGGAAGCTGTGAGAATATAGAGAAGCTATTCTCTAGATTGCATATTACTTTAGCAATTGTGTTTTTTTCCGGGAGTAAAATATCAAAATTAGATTATTTTTAAGTATAAATTTTTTAAAATGATAAAAGCCTTGTCACACACAATAGTTCTTTTATCTTAATCCTTGAGCAAATTCTCTTGCAGGAGAAAGAGAGCTCATTATTTCAGGAAAAGCATTTCCTATGTGATCTTTTCAATAAAATATCTTGAATATTTTGTCACAGGTCATATTTTCTTCTTTTCTTTGACTCTAGAAAACTCAGCTAAGATTCAGCCTAATTTTATCAACGGTATTACACTAAATATTAGCATACTTATATTATTCATGACTTCAGGTGTTTTTTTTTTTTCCTGCCCTACTTATTATTTTTCCTGATTTTTTTCACATTTTATTTTCAATCATATTGAATTTAATGTATCTTTGTAACTTATTTCAATTGTTTTGAACCTTGCAAGCTAAGTCTAAAACAAAGTAGGAAATGAGTAAATGAATTAACCTAATAATTAACAGTGTGAAGGGCAAATAACATATTATGGAGAATATAAGATTATTCAAGATCAGCATAATAGTAAAGATAAGGCTCCAAGAACTTTGTAGTCAGTGTATTCTTCATAACACTGAGCATCTCTCATTAATCCAAAACTCTCAAAAGTAACCAGTACCTCTCCTATAGGTGTGTACAGTGTTCCCCTAATCATCAAAAGCTTTATTTTCTAGAAAATTTTGAAATCATCTTTAAACATTGTATTTTAATCCAAAACATCTTTTCTTGCTAAAGAATTAAAGTTTCAAATCATAATTACTCTGCTAATATGATAATATGATTCACTTGCCTGCACTGAATGTTAAGTAAGGAAGAGCCAGCTTTAGAAGTTAGTCCCTGAAAGAGCCAGCTTTAGAAGTAAGTCTCTGGCTTGCACATTACTTTAGTAATTTTCTTCTTAGGGAAAAATATCTAAATGTATAAATTACTTTTTAAAATAATAAAAACCATGGCACATACATATCTATCTAAACTCTCAATTTAGATCATTCTCTAGAATTCATTGCCAGATGATTCTAAAAATTAAATATAAACCTTTATAACAATTGTCTTTTTTATTGTTCTTTTATCCTCATTCCCTTTTCTACCCTATTAATACATTCAATTCTCTCTCAAATTCTTTATTCTATTCTTGACTATCATCATCACTTTCCTGAAAAATAAAAGCCGAAATTCTAGCCTTGTGCTTCTTCAGGCTTGTGTCTTTGCTATCCATTCGTCTCCTATCAGGTTAGAAAATTTCATGAAAGCAGAGACTATGCTTCCTGTTCACCACTGTTTCCCTAGCACCTAGCTCAGTGCCTGGTACACACTCAATATATATATAATTGAATAAATAAAATCATTCCTTTTGTAACGTGGCTACAAGGATTATCCATGGCAAATATTTGGAATATAAAACATAACAGGAAAGAATGCAAGGTAGCTGTGGAAGGGAGATCTCCAGAAGTAGGTTGAAACAAATCTATATTGAAGATTTTAAAAGTGTTACTTCCAAAAGTTTGTTCACATATGAAAAAGGAAATAACAAATATGCTTTATATATTTAATTTAGTTAATTCATTTAATATCTATTGGTAACTATAGAGTGTGTTAGCTTATATTAAATCAGTATATACTGATTTTTATTTATTTTAGAGAGAAATTTATTTTTATTTTTATTTATTTATTTATTTATTCTATCACCCAGGCTGCAATGCAGTGGTATGAACATAGCTTGCTGCAATCTCCAACTCGTGGGCTCAGGTAATCCTCCCACCTGAATCTCCTGAGTAGCTAGGACTATAGGTGCATGCCACTATCCCTGGCTAATTTTTAAATTTTTTGTAGAGATGGGGTCTCTCTGTGCTGCCCAGGCTAGTCTCAAACTCCTGGCCTCAAGCGAGCCTCCCATGTTGGTCTCTCAAAGCGCTGGAATATCAGGCATGAGCCACCATGCCCAGCCTATAGTGATTTTTTAAAAAGAAAGTTGTTACCTATCCCCACCAAGTATATATTCTAATTTATGTACTTAGTCACAGATTTAATCAATAATATATAAATGTAACAAAGGAGACTTACCCTACTAAATCAGAAAAATCCTAGCAATTCTGGTTAAATATAGTAAATTGAATAAATGCATGCATTTCCATTTTTTTCAAACCTGACTAAAATAATAGTAAATGAAAAATTTTGAAATGTATAATACCATAAGGATAAAAAAAGATGGAATATGACTTCAGATTTTTGGACAATGGAAAGCAGATGGACTTCGCAACTCACTTAGTGAAAGGGATGTTGAAACTTAACTACCTACAGAGAGATAAGTCAATGACGGCAGGCTGCTTCACACTGAAAGACCCAGAATAGGTCAGCTATTGCTGACCTATACTTTTAAAGGTAGAGGTTGGGGTAAGGATAAAGTAGGAGTATCACAATCCCAAGTTCATTGCAGCATTATTCATAAAAATCAAGATATAGAAACAACCAAATCTCCATTGACAGATGAATGGATAAAGAAATTGTGGTATATGCATACAACGAAATATTATTTGGCCTTAAAAAGAAGGGAATTTTGTCATTTGTAACAACATATATTAACCTGGAAGATACTATGCTAAGTGAAATAAGCCTGACAAGGAAGACAAACATTGCATGATCATGCCTATATGTGGAATGTAAAATAGTTTAATTCATAGAAGCAGAGAGTAGAATGGTGGTTGCCAGGCACTGAGGTGGGTAAGGAATGGGGAGATTTTAGTCAAAGAGTACAAAGTCTCAGTTAGGCAGGCTGAATAATTTCTGAAGATCTGATATACAGTATAGTGACTATAGTTAACAATATTGTATTATATACTTGAAATTTACTAAGAAGGTAGATCTTTAGTGTTTTTACCACAAAGACACACACACACACACACACACACACACAGAGTAATCAAAATGCTAATTAACTTGATTGTGGTAATCATTTCACAGTATAGATTTGTATCAAAACATTAGGCTGTACACCTCAAATATACAATTTCTGTTTGTCAAATATAAACCAATAAAGCTGAGAAAAACACAGAAGTATTGATTGTAAATTCTCACAAAACTAGAAAATCACCCTTCCCCAATACATTAAGAGAAGAATGATTTATTCTGTAGAGAAATTGGACTACAGAGCTTGTGGACCAGGAACACCGGGCACAGAAGAAGGCAAGAACAAAAAGTCACTCTAAAATTCAATTAATGTCTACTGTCTGAAAAGTGGGTAAGAGCTTCACCCCTGTTACCTCTCTTAGCTCCTAAAAGGCTGTCTCTCAGGCCTATCTCCTGCAAGAGATTAGAGGATCCTTCCCCAGAGAAATCTGCCCTAAAGAAAAAAAGACCAATTGATACTAATAGCTGACAGCTTTACAAAGTAAGAAGAGGAGGAGGAGGAGGAAGAAGACAAGGGGGAGTGGAAGGAGGGGGAGAAGGAGAGAGAGGAGGAGGAGGAGGAGAAAGTTTTCACCTATCCCCTGCCTGCATACATAGAAACTTCAATCAGTGACTTGCTCTCAAATATAAACTTCTGCGTAAAACTTCTATCAAAAGAAAAACAAATAGAGAAAGTAGTGAGAAAATAGAGATAAGGCATGAAGAAGAACAATACCTCAGAAAAAATATAATTAATAGCTTCAGAAAGATGTTTGAAATGCTTGTTCTTTGGTACCATAAACATAAATTTAAATTTCTCAGCAAGGCCGTTTTTATACTTTCCGCAGAAAGGGTACACTTGCCAGCAGTTTTGCCACAAGAGTACACTCAATAAAGAAGACAGGGTCATTTATAACCTGACACGTCTACCTTACTGCTGTGTCTGGTTTCCATTGGCTGGAACGAGACTTCACATTCTGTATTTGTCTTGATTGGCTAGCAACTTAGAACTTTTTAAAATAGGCAAAGGCAGAGGAGAACAAAGGAAGGAGGAAGTAACTTGGGGAATGCTGAGAAAGATAAAAACACCTTGAAATAAGAAGAGGAACAGGCTATGACCTAATGCTTGCTTGGACCAGTATAATCATGCCAGGGCAAATATTTAGGCTACATTGTGGGAGCTAAGAACATAAAGTACGTTGATTTCTTTATTATGGCTAGCAGATATTTAAGAATGTTAGCAGAGGTCTTTGAATAAATTTTGCTTCTAAGAAAAGTTACTATTTACTCCTAATTAGACAGGGAGGACAGTCTTTGAAGAGGAACCTCTACTTTTCTTTTTACAAAGATGTCATGAAAAAGGAATGCTATTAAAAAATCAGAGTACAAAGGCTTCTATAAATTAAAAATTAAGTTAGATCATCTGAAATTAAAATTTTAAATTAAGATGAGGAGATATAATGAAGAAGTTTCCCACTAAATAATATTTAAAAAACAAAATTAAAAACAAAAAATGGAATGGACAATAACAGGGCCCACTGAATATCCAAATGATGAGTTCAAAAAGACCCTCACTAAGACACACCCTCATGAAATGTCAGAATACTGAAGAAAATGAAAGAGGAAAAAGAAAAAGAAGAAAAAACATGTCATATCAAAAGGATCAGGTATGACAATAGCAGTTGATCTTCTCATTTAACAATGGAACAAAGACTTTAAGTTTCTGAAAGGTGACAACTGGCAACCTAGAATTGCATATCTATACAAATTATAAAGTGAATGTAAGATCACATTAAAAACTACTTAAGATAAAAAAGAGTTTAAATATATTTCCCTGCATCTTGTCTCAGAAAGCAGAGTAGATGTGCTCCACCAAAATGAAGGAATAAACCAAAACTGTGAGGATGGCATGGGATCCAACACAGGAAGGTGGTAAAAGGAATTTTCCTGATGATGGTGAAGGGAAGGATGACAACTATGTAGCAGGAAGCCTAAATAATAGATTCCTTGATGCAGCATTTAATTATAATAATAGGTATTTTATAGTTCTATACAAGAATATGAGAAGAATGAATGATTTACACATAGAAAATTAAATCCAAAGGAGGGGGCAATTATTTATAAGTCCAAAGAAATGTTAAAATCCATACACAAGAAAAATGTACCATATTGCTTGGTTCATCTGTGAACATAATTTACCTAATCATAAAAATTGTAAGCACTAAGTATTAATTAAACAAAATGTTGCAATTTGGGAGTATGAAAGCAAGGAAAGGAATATGAGTGGGAGGGCAGTATGAGTGCTAAGTTCTCATCTTGCAGTTTACTAGTTAGTGGGTAATGTCTAAAATTGCTTAATCAAATAGAAAAAGGATAAGCAAGCAATTTAAACACATACAAGTCTGGCCAACCTTGTGTAACCCCATCTCTACTAAAAATACAAAAAGTAGCCGGGTGTGGTGGTGTGCACCTGTAGTCCCAGCTACTTGGGAGGCTGTGGCAGGAGAATCACTTGAACCCGGGAGGCAAGGGTTGCAGTGAGCTGAGATCACACCACGGTACTCCAGCCTGGGCAACAGAGTGAGACTTCATCTCAATAAATAAATAAATAAATAAATAAATAAATAAATAAATAAAAATTAAAAAATAAACACATAGAAGTGACTATCAATAAAGCAGCTGAAAGAGTTGAAAGCATTTTAGGAACAGTAACTGGGGGTCAGCTAAATGAGAAGACTGCAGTCCCATTTGACATTTAGAACTATATACATAAAGTTCTTTAATAAAAGTAAAATTACAAATAAAAAGCAAATCACTTATATTTTCTTAAGCCCATTCATGTCTTAGTGACAAGAGTTTTTGTTTATAGACTCCCATGTGTATACTCTGATAAATATTTTTCATATTCAAGTTCTAAAGAAAATCTTTTGTCTCCTATATGGGCTGAACAATAAAAGAAAACCTGTTCTTATCCTTCCTGACAGGGTAAGTTAATTATGAATTTAACTTTAAAAAAATCAAACTAAGTTTAAGTTAGAAGTAGTAAAACAGAACTTCTATAACTTTTGCTCATATCAAATTACTTATACTTTCTTATTCTTTATCTAATGGCTTTACCTAATTATGGGTAACAGTGTTAACTCCCTTTGCTCCAAGAATAATTTTAAAAAGTCAGAAAATTTTTGATAAATTATGATTTAATTTTTCCTGAATCTAGAAGCCATGAAGCAAATGTACTGCATAAGACTGTGCACTTTGACCTCTGCTGAGCAGGTGAGAGCAGAGCTAAGACTCAGCTGCTCACCAAGCCAAGATGCTCATGGAACTAAGCCTGGGCACAATTTCTCATTGGCCTACATAGAGAAGATCCTTTTTGCAACTGGACCTATCAGAGCACGTACCTTTTATCTAGTTCACAGAAGATGCTCTATATCCTAGCTGCACTTCTGATTGTCTGCCTAAATAAGGCTCTATTTTAATATTTTGATTAATTTGCATTTGGACAAAACTGTAAGACTATGACCAGTGGTCTAATCTGTAAGATCATGACCTATATTTACAGATTAATAACAAATGTCCAGTGACTTACCAGGAATGTGTTTCCACAGTGCCCACACACGACCCTTGTACCTTCTGGTTGGATTGGCAATGCAGGTTGAGCTGGTTGTTCTTCAGAAATAAGCATTACTGGGCCAAGGTTAATTATCCGTCTACTATGAAAAGAGAAAGGAAACAACTTCACTATCCCACAAATGGATTGAGAGCAAAACCTGCAACATAAGGCCAGAAATATGAAATGTGTTATACTTGTTTTATAAATTAAGTGAATTAAATCTCAAGCTGGAGACAAAACTACACACAGTAGCAATAGTCAGTTTTTCAAAAGCAAAATATGAGTCTTTCTGTACTTGGGACAGAACAATATATTATAGCATTGGTCCTAATCAATGGCAACCATTTAACTGCCATTTCCAAGTTTTTATAAGTTCAAATCAGAAAACAGTTGTTACCCTTCCCTATCTAGGAAGCCAACTTGAGTTTGGTAGAAGACTGACTAAGTTAAAAATATTCTACATCAACAAAAATCTGTGTGCCAGGAAGGCACCAAAGGGCTAGGTTACAACCAAATTTCTCTGAGCAGTGTGATATTCCTTGATGCCTATTTAATCAGAGATGAAAAGAAAGCAAACAGGATCCTCCTTTCATTTCTATTCTCTAGTCTATCATTGGATAGGGCTGTACATGATTCATGTAATGGTCAAAAAGCCAGAGAGATCACAGAAAAAAAAAAAAAACCCAGGTAAGGCCTCTATATACTTGTATCTGGGTACATCCATAATGGTACTGGGCATGGGTGAATAATTCCAGAATTTATTGCACATATACATTCAGCAGAGATTAGTATAACATACAGTGAGATACACAAAAATAACTAAAACACTTGCAGGTGAAGATTAATTATATCAAAAGTAAACTAACTGATTTTTTTTTTTAAGAGATGGGCCAGGCATGGTGGCTCATGCCTGTAATCCCAGCACTTTGGGATCACTTGAACCCAGGAGTTCAAGAACAGCCCGGGCAACATGGTGAAATCCTGTCTCTACAAAAAAGATACAAAAAATTAGCTGGGAGTGGTGGTGTGTGCCTGTAGTCCCAGCTATAGTGGAGGCTATAGTGGGAAGGCTATAGTGCAGAAGGTAGAGGTCACAGTGAGTCAACTCTTTGAGATTCTTCCCGTTGAGACACTGTGTCAAAAAAGAAAAAAAAAAAGAGAGAGACAGACAGATGGGGTCTCACTCTGTTGCCCAGGCTGGAGTGCAGAGGCACAATCATAGCTCACTGCAGGCTTTAATCCCTAAGCCTAAGTGATACTACTGCCTCAGTCTCCCAAATAACTGGGAATATAGGTGCATGCTGTCACACCTGGCTAATTTTTTCTAGAGATGGGGTCTCACTATGTTGTTCAAGTTGGTCTCAAACTACCAGCTTCAGTTGATCCTCCCACCTCAGTCTTCCAAATTGCCAGGAATACAGGCATGAACCACTGGCCTGACCTCATTATTTTTAAATAAGTTCAATGAGTCACTGATTTATTATAGTACATTAAGTACTTACATAACACGAATAAAACATTTATTGCTCATTTAAGAATATTATATCCCACAAATATCTATGACTAAGTTCAAACTAAGATTATCATTCCTTTAACAAAAAAAAAAATCTAGATTCTGGAATGACTTTGAAAACAAACACTCTTTCTAGAACAAAGCCTGGCACATGAAGAACCTTTAGTAAATACTTGTTGAATGAACAAATGAATGAATGAATAAATAAATCTTCATCTCTTACCAGTTGGGTCTCGGGCATCCTATTCGCCGAGATGTGTCCTTACAAATGAGAAGACAATTACAAGGGCACCTAACATATTTCTTCCCTGTTGGGGGGTTTTTGATTGGCTGGATAAGGGAAGAAAATGCAAACACAGCAATTAACCAAAGTACAGATTGTCAAAGTTTGTTTGTGTTTAAAAAGGAAAGGATTCCATTAAAACTAATGAAATACAATTGCTTTTGTGACTTAAGGTTTTATTTTACGATTTTTCTATAAGACATATAAAGTCAAGTATTCATGTTTTACGGTCCTTCAAGACACAATAATCCCTGGCTGACTTTTTTTTTAGAATTTTCTAAAGAGAAAAAATTAAAACGTCAAAGATAAAATTAATACTTAATTGCAGATTTTAAGAAATCAAAATTTAATATATAAAGCCTAACTATTAAATAAATATATTTCATCTAAACCAGTGTATGCTTTACCAGTTTATTACTTGAAACTATAAAAATATTGCTGAAAATTTAGTTGCTCCCCAAAGCTCAATTTTAAAAAAAGGAAAGGTGTTATTCAATATTTTAAACATTCCTAAATTACTATTAACTAAATTAAATAAAATGTCAAACTATTTGTAAACACTTTGGCACAGATGCTAATAACAAATGCATAATCACAAAAGCCCAGAAAACCAATAGTGACATCCTACAGACATAAAATAACTTTAAATAATTTTCCACATAAATAGGACAAAGTTTATGATTGTAATGAAGTTTAGTACACAATATTTTCATTTTAGTGAAAACTAGAATGAATGTAGTTGTGATGTGGATAGATATTGAAGGTATTTATACATAACTGCCATGCTCAGTCTAGTTTTTGAAAGTAAAAAGCCAAAAGGCATTATATTTAAATTCACCATGAAATTCTCTTAATAGGGTTAGCTTTAAACACAGGGAGGTATTCTATGATGAAAGACAGAGAGAAGAAAAGTCAGGAAAAAAGATTACCATATTTGTATCCAGCCCACATATACTTTTAAGTAACATTATTAAAGTACTTCCTTTAGGAATAAAATGTCAAATAACAATTTATATTTTTACTAATGGAAATCTCCACTTACCGTAGCTTCATTACAAACTGTGCACTTAACCACATGCTGGTGAAGCTTGCCATCCAAATTGATTAGTGATTGGCACACACGGCAGTTTATTACTGGAATACCACTGGCATCTGGACTGGCAATGGCTGTATATGGAGGTGGGAGCTCCGCTGGAAAGATATTAGTCACTGAATCAGAGTCTTAGAGAAATTACTATGGCTGATTTGAGTATAGAAGCAATAAAAGTAAAGAAGAAACAATCAAGATTTTCCCACGTTCTTTTATTTATTTTTCAAAGCTAGCCAATTTATCTTACTTTTAGAGCATAAACATCCATGAGACTCTTATCAAGTAAAATAATTCTTAACTCTGATAAAATCTAAATCATGTTTGCCTAGGTCTATCCCAATAACCCAGTTTCCTTTTACTAATCTATACTCAAAATGTCACTCCATTCCTATTAGTAAATTCGTACAGCCTCTAATAGGACAGTGGTGATTTATGACTATAATAAAAATCTTACACAAGTGATCTGACTCCCAGGAAATAAAAATGGTCGATGAAAGCAAAGTTTTAAAATTGCTTATCCATACATATAAATTATGTAGCTGTCATGCTCTGTCTTTACACTGGAACCAGTATAATGACTGCTGGCTATGACAAGAATAAAACAAGGTTTTGGAGGAAGTCAAGAAGAAACAAAAATGAACCTAAGAAAACTAAACTTCTCAGCATGAAACAAAAATGGGAACCACGCTAATTTCAGACACAAAACAAAAATAAAGTAAATATAATAATTTTTAGTCTCAAAATTTACCTACCATTAAAAATGTAAGAAATGCACCAAAGTGTTTACGAGTAAAAAAATGTAGTATGTGGGATTAAAAACTTCAAAAACCATAACAACAACAACCACAAAAAGAATGGGGAAAAAGATGAAACAAGAGTAGCAAAATGTTGGTAACTGATGAATATAATGACATGGAAGGTCATATTTTCACACTACTTTTGGGTATGTTTGAAAATTCCCATAATACAAAGACACACACACAGTGTTTTTTCAGGAGTCCTAAGGTTGACTCAGTGAGTGAGTAAAGGGTGGAGGCCCACTTTCAAAATCAAGTATCTACCAGAAGTGTATATTTGTGGCAAAAGTCTGAGAAAATGAATCCTGATATACTACTCTGGAATGTGATTTCTAAAGGACTCCTAACCCCTTTCTGCAACCATCTCAACTAAGGAATAGAAGACTTTTCCAACGTAAAGTTTTGTCTTGGGACATTTAGAAAGGGCCACACTCTAATACATGATGGAATCACGAAAGAGAACTGATATCTCAAAAGGTTTTTGTAACACTATAAAATATAATCAAATAGCTAATCATAATAAGAGCTGTTTTTGAAATAGAGGTTTTCTATCCACTGTATAAGATTCTAAATTTTGTGATATTTTAAAAAGAATTAGAGCATAAAACATTTTGGTACGTTTAAAACACACATATTTCCACCTGATCCTTGGGTTAAGATATAGGATTTTTTTCAGACTGCTAAGGATTAGCAACAAGTGGTATTCATTCAAATGATTCCTAAGACAAATTTCTGCAGCAGCCAAGGCTCTGAAAGAGGCCACTTTGAAATGACGATATGCTCACATTTCTGGGAGGCTTATAACAGAACACTGCCAAACACTGAAATTCAAAAGGAGCTGTACATGTCTGAAATTATAAAAATAATTTTAAATCCGTAAAAAGAATTTGAGCTTGATCCAGAGTGAACTGTAATGTATTAATCAAGAAGAAAAAAACACGTTAAAGAAACAATGAGTCAATAATATACTTAAGGTCTTGCAATTTGCAGATTACTCTGTCAGATCTCAATAAAGAAGGCATTATTCTCGGGGAAATAATATGTACCTCACTAGAAATTCAAGACACACTGCCTGGTATATAATAATGAATATTATTTTAATAATTATTTGCAGTAGGATTATTAATAAAAATTGCTTCCTCTCTGGCCTTTTCCTTGAGTTGTACAGTAACATTACGTAGTTCTCTCATAATCCCAGGTCTCTGTCTTACACAGAACGATAGAAAGGAAACTTAAATGCAAGACAGTTTTATTAAGAAAACAAGGGCATTGGGGGAGAGGAGGAGATGACAAATTGCTACACTACATAAAAGGACACAAACCCATACACTCCTCAGCTTTGCTCAAAGAAATCTCCTAAGAAAATTTCAGAGGGTGATCTTAACAGTCATTAAAAGGGTATTAGAGCCAGTAAAACCCTATAATTTTTCTTCTAAGATTTGTAATACATAATCTGCCAAGAAAAAAAAAAACCGCCTTCAATGACAGAAATATGCTCAAATCTACTCTTTTGGAGGCTTTGGAAGTGGAGGGACATGGACAGAACGACCAGTGAGGATTATAAATCTAATATGAGAGAGACCATAAGCTCCACAAAGCCAGGGGCACATCTGGTTTGTCCACAGCTACTTCACCAGTGCTTGTCATAATGCCTGGTCTATGATGATGCTTACTAAATGTTTATTGAATGGTTGAATGAATTAATACATCAGTGAGTCATTAAAATTTATTAGACATATCTATTTCTCTTGGAAAAATAACACCAAGTATTAGGTTGGTGCAAAAGTAACTGTGGTTTTTGCTATGACTTTCAAATGGCAAAAACCGCAATTACTTTTGCACCAACCTAATATATTAACCCTACTCTCCTTCCAGAGGAGCTAAGGTCCTAGCAGGGGAGTGCAGATTGATGGAAAATGAGGCCTTCTTTTATATAGAAGACTACCCTTTCCAAATAATGCACTGAGAGAGGTGAAGCAGTCAGGGGACACTGGCCTGGCCCACCAGATAAATGGAATCAATCCAACAGATCAATAGAATGACAGATGCTGCAGCCTAATTGCCACAATAAACAGTGCTTCCTGGCCTTTCATTTCAATGTTCTATCCATTACTTCAGCCTTCAACTGATTTAGACAGAGATATTTCTTGTACTTTTGGCCTTTCCCTATTACTCAGATTTTACTTCAAGGAAACATGGCTCCATCTCCTCTTATGTGGGACTTGTAATTCTGGAGATTCCAGTTAGTAAACTTACAACAATTAGATTAAGATTATTAATTTAAGCAATTAATAATTAGATTATTATAGATTAAACCTATAATAATTAAATTAACTTAGATTTATTCATTTTGTCTCTTTTCACTTCAGGATAATCATAGCTCAATACAGCCTTGAACTCCTAGGCTTAAGTGATCTTTCCTCCTCAGCTTGCTTCCTCAGTAGCTAGGAATATAGGAGTGCACCACCATGCCTATATTTTCACTTTAAAACAACCGATCACCACTATTCTACCTATTTTAAATTTCTGTACTACATTTAAAAAGTTCACTGTAATCTCAGAACTTGGGATCATTAGATATTGAAAGTCACAAAAATTCCTCATTTTGGAAGAGTCTTACTTGTTATCTAAACAAGTCATTTTTTTCCATGGGGTTTGCCTAAATTAAAAAGCCTTTTTCCTCCATGTGAGCAGTATTTGTTAGGCCAGTAGTCCTTAATCCTAAAAAAACTCCCTCAAAGCTCCAGAATAGAACAATGTTAGAAATTCAAACAATCTTTGGAATTATGAAGTTTAATTTCTTTATTTTACAAAGAAGAAAACAAACCCAGACATTCTGACTTTTTAAGGGTTTTTCAGAACTTCCAGCAAAGCCAAAAACTGACTCCTCTTCTGGAGATCTCTCCACAATAACAGCTGTCTCCTTTAATAAATAATGACTTAATATAGGGAAAAGATTTAAGGACCAATGGGGGATTTTTTCTAGGAACAAGCAAACATCTGATAATGTAGATTTCTGGAGAATGAAATCTTGGTTAAAGAGAATTAAGAGGAAGAGGAGAAGGAAGAACTGGGGTGGGGAGAATTAGAGTATGTTTTAAAAAGAAGAATCATTTCACAATAAAAGCTTCAGAGAAAAATGGACTCATAAAAGGGAGAGAATGATAGTTTATTAATCACAAGGCATACATAATGATCTTTCTAAAACACTCAAAAGGAAGCATTATATTCCGTAAACCCACAAGTGATCAGATTACATTTCCCATCACAAACATTTACCTAATTTATGTATTTTATGCGAAACAGTCCCTCTGTCTTGCTAATTCATTCTGGTGTATTAATCCGTATTTCATTTTTTCTCAGAGACATCCTCCAGTATTTTAAAGATTGGAATTGTTTTGTTGGATTGCTCTGACCTTTATTATCTCAATTATTCCTTTATACGTCTCCTCAATGACAATATTTGGCAGTTTAATTCACTTACTATATTAGCATCCTCTATATGTAGCCCTTCAGGCTCTTGAAAAAGATGTTATATCAAAATTGAAAATGACATCAGCTTAAAATGAGAGATATTTTACAATTATAAGAGAAGCAAGAAAAGTATAAAAGGGCAGCCTTTGAGGAAAGCCTGGCTTTTTTCTCCTCTAATTTTCATTGCAAGGATTCATTTTCCCTAGTATCTTTGTGCAGAATGTAGGTTAAGGACAGACTCAGCTTGGCCACTATGGGTTAGCTGCTTTTAGCGTCAAACCTCTCCAGTTCAGTTCAATACAGAGCAAAAGAAGACCACTTTCTGCTCCTCCCCATCTTTGAAACCAAAGAAAACTGTTAGGAGACTCAAGTTCTCCCAGAACAATGACATTCTCGGAAAAACTCATCTGGCTGAAGACAGGTTGAAAATATATGTGCTAGTTATCAAGTTACTGACCCTCAGTTCCAAATCCACCTTTACTCTCTATTGCGATGCTGGAGCTGGAACTCTGCAAACCACATTTTGGTTTTGTCAGCTCGCTCCAGGTTATGCTCTTAATAGGAGGTGATACTGGGAAGCTGCAAGGCTGGAGGAGGAATAAGGGGCTTATTCCTTCTATTTGTTACCTGTTTGCTCCCAATCTGCTTGCTGTTTCTCTGAACATCATCCTAGGAGTATTACTTCACCTTGGCAGTGGTAGTTCTTTCCCCTGGGAACACCGACGCCAGTTTACAGTTTTCAACATTTGCCAGAACCAGTTTCCTTGTATAGACTCCCACACCAAATAGCCAGTGCTCCTTCCCAAGAAAGTAGTTCAGTTTCTCCAGAG